GAGGAGACTGCAAGAAGTATTGGCTGCTGGCTTCTCTCTGTTAAATCCTCAAGAAGCCCAATCCTGGCTGCTGGGAGCCTCAGATCAGGTCATCAATTCTGTACCTTCATGAAAGAGCAGGCTTTATTTCTGATGTTCATCTTCAAGGAGGTGGCAGGAAAATGGTAGTGCTGACTGTGTCCATCTCTTCACCTGTCTTTGTAAACTTATTAACTAAAAACTTAAAAACACTAGTATTAAGCCAGGTAAGTCATGCCAGTGACCCCAGCAGTTGGGAGACACAAACAAGAGGATTGCCTGGGCCTGGGAAGGTGGCTCAGTGGTAGAGTGCTTGTCTTGCATGCATGAGGCCCTGGGTTCAATTCCTCATAAGCAGAAAAAGCCGGAAGTGGTGCTATGGCTCAAATGGTAGAGTACTAGCTTTGAGCTGAAGAGCTGATAGTGCCCAGGCCCAGAGTTCAGGCCCCATGACTGAAAAAAAAAAAATTTTTTTTAAGATAAATTTATGGGGCTGGGAAGATGGCTCAGTGGTAGAGCGCTTGCCTTGTATGCCTGAGGCCCTGGGTTTGATTCCTCAGCACCACATAAGCAAAAAGAAAAAAGCCGGAAGTGGCGCTGTGGCTCAAGTGGTAGAGTGCTAGCCTTGAGCAGAAGAGCTGAGGGACAGCGCCCAGGCCCAGAGTTCAGGCCTCACGACCGGACCCAAAAAAAAAAGAGGATTGCCTGGGCTTCATAACCAGTTTCACTCAGACCAGGCTACAGAGCAAGATTAGCTCAAAAAGACACAGGTAGGTGTTACGCCCTTATTCCTAACTCTCCTAACTGAATATAAAAACTACGAAAATATTTTAGGGCCTAAAAAACATTAAATGGATATTAAAATGACCCAAATAGGGGATAGTTTAAAAAACTACTTTCTCAAAACTGTCACTATACTATTCTATCAGTAACTCCCATCTCATAGCAAGATTTGTGATGAGGACTACTAAAGATGTGGCTCAAGTGGTAGAGTCAACAGCTTTGAGTGGGAAAAAAAGCTAAGCAAGAGCACAACACCCTGAATTCAAGCCCCAGTATCAGTACAACACACGCACACGCATGCACGCACAAGCATGCTTGCGCGTACATCCCACAAAATTGTGATGAAGCCAGGCACTAGTGGCTCATGCCTATAATCCTAGCTACTCAGGGGGCTAAGATCTGAGGATCTCGGTTCAAAGCCAGCCCAGGCAAGAAAGTCCTTGAGACTTATCTCCAATGAACCACCAGAAAACTGGAAGTGGCACTGTGGCTCAAGTGGTAGAGTACTAGCCTTGAGCTGAAGGTCGAGCTAGGAGACAGCACCCGGGCCCAGACCCTAAATACTTGGACTTTATCTAAGTCTTTGCTACAGCACACCGTGGTCTTGATGTGATGGTATGTATGAGAAGCTGAGGAAGAAAAGCTCCTTAACCAAAGCACTACTTGCTAGCCCTCCACTCTGGTAAGTGGCCAGGAAAAAGCAGGGGTCATTCAGCTGATCAGTCTTCTCAAAAAAATTAAAAATAAAAACACCAAGGGGTAAACAAGTGCAGCAATGATACACAATAGACACTATGTTGAAAATGAACTAGAACTATACAATTTGTGGGTGGGATGAGAGGGAAAAAACAGAGATAAGAGTTGACATTGTCCAAAAAGAAATGTGTTCATTATCTGACTTATATAACTGTAACCCTCTGCATATCACCTTTATAATAATATAAATTAATTAATTAAAACTACTCAAGTTCTAGGGGCTGGGAAGGTGGCTCAGTGGTAGAGCACTTGCCTTGCGTGCATGAGGCCCTGGGTTTGATTCCTCAGCACCACATAAGCAGAAAAAAAAAAGCCGGAAGTGGCGCTGGGGCTCAAGTGGTAGAGTGCTAGCCTTGAGCTGAAGAGCTGAGGGACAGCGCCCAGGCCCAGAGTTCAGGCCCATGACCGGATCCAAACAAAAATAAAATAAAATAAAATAAATAAATAAAAGCTGGGCGCTGGTGGCTCACGTCTGTAATCCTAGCTACTCAGGAGGCTGAGATCTGAGGATCGAGGTTCTAAGCCAGCCCGGGCAGGAGAGACCGTGAGACTCCTATCTCCAATAAAACCACCAGAAAACCGGAAGTGGCGCTGTAGCTCAAGTGATAGAGCGCTTGCCTTGAGCTGAAGAGCTGAGGGACAGTGCCCAGGCCCAGAGTTCAAACCCTACCACCGACCATAAATAAATAAATAAATAAATAAATAAATAAATAAAACTACTCAAGTTCTTTTTTTTTTTTTGGGGTCCGGTCATGGGGCCTGAACTCTGGGCCTGTGGGCTGTCCCTCAGCTTTTCAGCTCAAGGCTAGCACTCTACCACTTGAGCCACAGTGCCATTTCCGGCTTTTTTCTTTTTGCTTATGTGGTGCTAAGGAATGGAACCCAGGGCCTCAGGCATGCAAGGCAAGCGCTCTACCACTGAGCCACCTTCCCAGCCCCTCAAGTTCTTAAAATAGAACTGGGCGCTGACATTGATAATTAGATGCCACACCCCAATAGTTCCTTGAAAATCCTAAGTTCAGAAGCTACAGAAACCAATCACAAAGTAAATACTATCAGAGCCACAGGATGAGTTTCACAAACTCAAGGGCAACTTCTAAATCCATCCAATCCCGTCCCTTAAAGTTATTTTATATGATCCCCAAATAGGAATTTTTTAAGCTAAACTTTCTGCAATTAAACAAGGTGGGGCGGGTGGGCAGAACATAACTATAAACAAAGTGTAAACAATTAACCACCAAAGTCAAAATGAACATAAACAACTGATAAAGATGGCGGCTCCAGTGAGCTGGGCCCACTTTTGAGTCCTGGGACAGGAGACTACAGTACAAGGGCCATTCCAAACCTCTATAGAAGCTGAGTGGGGAAAAGCACTTTTAAAAGCTCACAAAGGGCAGGGTGTCAGTGGCTCACACCTATAAAATCCTAGCTACTCGGGAGGCTGAGATCTGAGGGTCACGGTTCAAAGCCAGAAAAGTCCATGAGACTCTTATCTCCAATTAACCACCAGAAAACCAGAAGTGGTCCTATGGCTCAGGTGGTAGATTACTCACCTTGAGCTCAGAGCTCAGGGACACAGCACCCAAGCTGAGAGTCCAAGCCCCACAACCGACAAAACACACACACACACACACACACATACACACACACACACACACACACACACACACACACACATTCAGAGGGCAGGGTATGTGGCTTAGTGGTAGAGTGCTTACCTAGCACTCACGAAGCACCAGAGGTGATGCTGTGGCTCAAGTTGGTAGAGTGCTAGATTTGAGCAAAAGAAGCTCAGGGACAGTGCCCAGGCCCTGAGTTCAAGCCCCAGGACTGGCAAAAATTTAAAAATATAAATAATAAAAATAAAAATTCACAGAAAGACAACATGGCCAGACACACAATAATGTCTTCTGTGGCAAGATGTGATGCAATCCAGACACTGAAAATGAATTTATAGTTCTTTCTGAGGCAGAGAGGTTGCTGTGCGCTTTACATTTATCTGAGAGCTATGTGTGAATCTGAGGCTGTGACGAAATGCAGATCAGTGAGAGACCTTGCTGATATCAGCAGTCACTCCTGCTACCAGGGTAAGCATCAGAGGCTCTTCTCAGAAGTGGGACCTTTCCTCCCCAAACTTCCTCACAAGACGCTGTAATGTGACTGAAGCCCTATTCTATACCCTTGACCACCTCTGCCTCTAAGTACAAGAAACCCAGATTAACTAAAACTAAATTTAAATCCAGTGTAACTGAAGTTTAACCCAGATTAATCAACGTGCCTCCTCTGAGGGGCATGATGGTACACACCCTACAATCTTGGCTACTGGGGAAGGTGAGACAGGAAGATCTCAGGTTTGAAGCCAACCTAGGGCAACTTAGCAAAATGGGCTAGGGATGTAGCTGAGTAGATCACTGACCTAGAGCATGTGCAAGACATTGAGAGGTTCAATAGCCAAGGCCACCGAAGTAAATAAATAAGTGCCTCCCTGAAAATCAGATGGTTCCCTTCCTGAAGATGTCGATGCAGTCCAGATTCACGTCTAGAAATGTTTTCTTGAAGGGAAGGGGTAGAGGAAGGGGAGGGGAAGGAAAGCAGTGTGAGATAGGTGTGTGTGTGTGTGAATCACTGATAGGGACTCAACACTCAGAAAAAAAAAAAAAACAAGCCAAAGCAACCTTGGCTCAAGGTTTCAGGATGAAGAAGACAAACCTCCACGTTTTACAAAAACTATCATCTCCAGCCTCATCCCAACACGCAACGACGTTTGCTTAACAGTCTGAGGTCAGGAAAAACCCAGTCGGTTTCCAACGGTTCTGTGCCAACCCCCGCCCCCACCCCGCCCCCACCCCCGCCCCCCAGCAGTCCAAGTGCACCTTGGCGGCGGCTGTCACCATCTCCACCCCCCCACCCCAGTCCTAGTAACATCATGGCTCCCGTGTGCAGATTTTACTCCCCAACTTCCCTGCAGCAAGGAAGAGGAGGCCTCGGGGTAAAACAAAAACCAGCAGCTGGGATTTTCACCTCTATCTTTGTGCTAGGGATGCCCACGGCCCCTCCCCGCACGGCCCCTGGCACGGGCCTGTCTTTCCCGCTGCACAATGCAGCCTGCGGCTCCTCCGAGGTCGGCACTGGTGGGGATGGCCGGGAAGGGCGGGGGGGGGGGGTCCCCGCGGGCATCGGGAGGCCAACCCCGCGGCGGAGCGCGGCTCGCAAGTTCCCTCTGCCTCCAGCCCGGAAGCCCAGGGCCGCCGGGTCTCCGGTGCCCGGCGGCCGGGTGCGCCCGGGCCGGGGCGATGACGGTGCACGGAGCGCACCCCCTGCGGAGGCCGCGCTCCCGCCGCGCCCACTGCAGAGGCGACGCTGCGGGCCGAGGCTCGGCGCCGCGGCCCCGGCTCCGCGGCCGGCTCCGCCCGGCCCTGCGCCCCGCCCCGGCCTCCGCGTACCTTGGTCTCCTTCACGTGCTGCTTGACGCCCTCCGGGTACCACTGGACGCGCACGTAGCCGCGGCGCAGCGGGCTGGCCCGGCCCTCCTCGTGGCCCGCGGCCCCGGCCTCCGAGCAGCCCGAGCTGCCGCGGCCCTCCTCCTCGCCCTCCGAGTCCGAGTCCTCGCCGTGGATGAGGCGCACCAGGCCGAAGTGCACCGAGCCGCGGTAACGGCCCGACACCAGGTCGTGAGAGAACAGCAGGCGCTGCGAGCCGGCTTCGGGGCCGGAGTCCGAGGACAGCCCGGAGGCCGAGTCTGGGGCGGAGGCCGGGGGGACGGAGGCCGGGGTCGCGGCCTGCGTCGGGGCTGCCTCCGGAGCCGAGGCCGGGGCCTGCGCGGGAGCGGGAGCTGCGGGTTCGGGGGCTGCGGGATCCGCCATAACTGCTCTGCGCGAGTCTCGGGCGGCGGTGGCAGCGGCGGCGGCGGCGGCGGCGGCGACGGCGGCGGCGGCGGCAGACGAGGCGCGGGGAGGCGGGGCCAGCGGCGCGGGGGCGGGGCGCCGGCGCGCTGACGTGGCGCTGCGTGCCGCCGTCGTCAGGGCACCGGGATGCGGTTGCTAGGAGCCACCTCCTCGTCGCTAGGGGACGCTGAAGATGCCGAGGGGTGGAGGCTGGAGGGGTGGACCCAGGAGGACGGGCGGGAGCCAAGGAGATGAAAGTGATGGGCGTGGGAAGGGGCGGAAACCCGAGGGAAGACGTGGAGTGGCCCCGGAGGAAAAGGGGAACCGCCAGGATGGCCAGCTACTCTGTGTGTGTGTGTGTGTGTGTGTGTGTGTGTGTGTGTGTGTGTGTCTGTGTCTGTGTCTGTGTCTGTGTGTCTGTGTATCTGTGTGTCTGTCTGTGTATGTGTCTCAGGCTTTGTTTTTGTTGTTCTTGTTTTGCTCAAGGCTAGGGCTTTTACCACTTGAGCCACTCCCCCACTTTTGGCTTTTTGCGTGTTAATTTAAGGGTCTCAGCCAGGCGCCTGTAGCTCATGCCTGTAATCCTAGCTACTCAGGAGACTGATAGCGTTCAAAGCCAGCCCAAGGCTGGGAATGTGGCTTAGTGGTAGAGTGCTTGCCTAGCATGCATGAAGCCCTGGGTTTAATTCCTCAGTGACACATACACAGAAAAAGCCAGAAGTGGTGCTGTGGCTCAAGTGGTAGAGTGCTAGCCTTGAGGAAGAGAAACTCAGGGACAGTGCCCAGGCCCCGAGTTCAAGCCCCAGGACTAGCAAAACAAAAACAAAAAAAAAACCAAAAAACAAAGCCAGCCCAGGCAGGAAATTACGTGAGACTCTTATCTCCAGTAAACCACCAAAAAATCGGAAGTGGCACTGTGACTCAGGTGGTAGAGTGCTCACCTTGAACTGAAGGGCTGAGGGACAGCGCCAGACCTAGAGTTTGAAAAAAAAAAAAGTGTCCAGGATTTGTCTTGCGTGGGATGGCTTCTAACCTTGATCCTCAGATCTCAGCCTCTGGAGTAGCTAGGATTACAGGCGTTTGCTTCCCAGCGTGCCAACAACTTTTAATGAGCACCCTTAGCATCCCAGCCTAGCCCTAGGCATTGCAGGGGTTACTGAAGGAGAAAGGCACTGCTCCTGTCCTAGTAACTGTTTACAATCTAGTTAGGGACAAGAAACAAATACATATTAAATATCTGAAAAAGCAACTCCTCAGGCAGCTTGTAAGCAAAGCTATAATAGATATGTATAGAACCTATGTATAAGGCTTTGTATTGGGAAATTTGGAGCCAAATTTAGAAGGTCATGACCCCTTAGGGATTGCTCTAAAGCTAGAATCCCAGAGAAAGGTAAGAAAATAAAAGCAAGTGTCAGACCCCTGGTAGCTTGACTTTAAGTCCCTTTAGGTTGAGTCTAAAGCTGGACTATGCATAGGAAAAAAATAGAGTTTAAGGTCGATAAATTGGGAACAATGGATTCCAATTTATGGCACTGCTACTTACTAATCTACAAAAGTAGAGCCAGGCACTGTAGCTCACACCTGTAATCCTAACTACTCGGGAAGCTGAGACCTAAGATCCTAGTTCAAAGCCAACCTGTGAAGGAAAGTTCATGAGACTATCATCAATTCACAAAGAAGAAAGGAAAGAAAGAAAAAGAAAGAAAGAGATAGGGAGGGAAGGAGGGAGGAGGGAAGGAGGGAGAGAGAGAGAGAGAGAGAGAGAAAGAACTGTAAATGGAGTTGTGACTCAGTGGTAGAATGCCAGCCTTGAATGAAAAAGCTAAGGGACAGCACCTAGGCCTCTATTCAAGCCCCAGTTCTGGCACAAAAAAAAAATGAAACAATTAAAAATCTTCAAGGGTAAATAACCAGATTACCTTCTTTTTAATTAGCTTTTTTTTTTTTTGGTCAGTCGTGGGGCCTGAACTCTGGGCCTGGGCGCTGTCCCTCAGCTCTTCAGCTCAAGGCTAGCACCCTACCACTTGAGCCACAGTGCCACTTCTGGCTTTTTCTACTTATGTGGTAGTGAGGAATTGAACCCAGGGCCTCATGCATGCAAGGCAAGCACTCTACCGCTAAGTCACCTTCCCAGGCCCAGCATATATTTATTAATTGTACAAAAGCATTCCATTGTGATATTTACATACATATCATATACTTTAGCCAAATTCATTCCTCTACTACAGCCCCCAGATTAATTTATTTTTATTTCAATTTTCTAATCTGTAAAATAAGATTGATAATGACAGCACCTGTATCACTGAGCAGTTGCAAAAGTCAAGTGAAGTGTCAGGCTTATTAAAAAGCCAAACCAGCCGGGTGCCGATGGCTCACACCTGTAATCAATCCTAGCTATTTACTCAGGAGGCTGAGATATGAGGCTCATGGCTCAAAGCCAGCCTGGGCAGGAAAGTCCATGAGACTCTTAGCTCCAATTAACCACTCAGAAAACTGGAAGTGGCGCTGTGGCTCAAGTGGTAGAGCACTTGCCTTGAGCTAAAGAGCTGAGGGACCCAGGCCGAGTTCAAGCCCCATGACTGACAAAAAAAAAAAAAGCCAAACCATAACTGGAATACTTTAACTCTCCTCCTACCTAGATTAAATTTTAGGCTGGTAGCACTGTTACACCGTTACTCTTGTGATCTGTTTCATATTGGCATTTTAAAATATAAATAGTAATTCTACTAATTTAACAAAGTAAGTTCCAAAGATTTAGATACATTCTCTCTAAGAGGAAGGACTCATAATAGGTTTCTAAAAAGAAATTAAAGGGCTGGGAAGGTGGCTCAGTGGTAGAGCACTTGCCTTGCATGCCTAAGGCCCTGGGTTCGATTCCTCAGCACCACATAAGCAGAAAAAAGAAAAGCCAGAAGTGGTGCTGTGGCTCAAGTGGTAGAGCACTAGCCTTGAGCTGAAGAGCTGAGGGACAGCGCCCAGGCCCAGAGTTTAGGTCCTACGACTGGACCCCCCCAAAAAATAAATAAAAATAAAAAGAAATTAAGAAACTTTGAGGCCTGGCCTTAATCTCTTTGTCCATACTTTTCTACAAGACTGTCAATGACAGACTAGTGAAATGATTTGATATTATAATATTTAGACTCTTAAAAAAAAAAAAAAAAGGCCAGGCGCTGGTGGCTCACACCTGTAATCCTAGCTACTCAGGAGGCTGAGATCTGAGGATCGCGGTTCAAAGCCAGCCCGGGCAGGAGGACCGTGAGACTTTTATCTCCAATAAAACCACCAGAAAACCGGAAGTGGCGCTGTAGCTCAAGTGGTAGAGCGCTCGCCTTGAGCTGAAGAGCTGAGGGACAGCGCCCAGGCCCAGAGTTCAAGCCCCACGACCGACAAAAAAAAAAAAAAAAAGGTAAGTCGGGCACTGATGGCTCACGCCTGTAACCCTAGCTACTCAGGAGGCTGAGATCTGAGGATCATGGTTTGAAGCCAGCCTAGGCAGGAAAGTCCATGAGACTCTAACCTCCAATAAACTACTCAGAAAAAGCCAAAGTGGCTTTATGGATAGAGTGCTAACCTTGTGGGGTTTTTTGTTTGTTTTTGTCGATTGTGGGGTCTGAACTCTGGGCCTGGGCATTGTCCCTGAGCTCTTCAGCTCAAGGCTAGTGCTCTACCGCTGGAGCCACAGCGCCACTTCTGGCTTTTTCTGCATATGTGGTGCTAAGGAATGGAACCCAGGCCCTCATGCATGCTAGGCAAGCACTCTACCACTGGGCCACCTTCCCAGGTCCAGAGTGCTAGCCTTGAGCAAAAAGAGGATCAAGGACAGCATGCAGGCCCAGAATTCGAGGTCCAGAACTGGCAAAAAAAAAAAAAAAAGAAAAAAGAGAAAGAAAGAAAGAAAGAGAAAAGAAAAAGGTAAAGCCTGCTCTTAGGGTAATTCACAGGCTTCTGGGAATATAGAACTCAGGCATGGAAAGAGTAAAAGGACACGCACAGAGCAGATGGCAGGCTGGGTACATAAGATGCTGTAGACCGAGTACTTATAGAGCATTGACGTAATATTGGACTCGGGCAGGTTGTCTGTGGACCCAAGTCAGACAATTCATGAACTAAGTATAGAAGAAACTGGGACTGAAAGCTGAAGAGGAATTCGGATATAACTTAGAAGAAATCTGGGTGCTTAGATCATGGTCTTCCATCCCAGACCGCAGAGTAGAACGGCTGGAGGAACCATTGCTCTTGGGCCCAGCTCCCCACTCCCTCCCCCCCCCCCCCAAACCAGGAGGGTTTGACAGCTATGACAGCATCATCTGGCCCCTCCTGACTCTTAGTCCTGTCTCCTTGACCTCTAATTTATTTTGTTTGTTTTGTTTTTGACATATTGAATGGACTGGTGCTCAGAGCCTGAGTGCTAACCCTGAGCTTTCTTTACTCAAGGCCACAGATCCACTTTCCATGTTTTTGCTGGTTCATTGGAGATAAGAGTCTCATGGACTTTACTGCCCAGGCTGGTTTCGAACCAAGATCCTCAGATCTCAGCCTTTTGAGTAGTTAGGATTAAAGATATGAGTCACTGGTACCTGGCTAACCTACCATTTATTGAGCATATTATTGTCTAGGCACTGTGCCAGGTCCCTTCACATACATTAACTTGTTTCTTGTCATATGTGTGTGTGTGTGTGTGTGTGTGTACATATACACATATATATGTATATATATATGACTGAAGTATATGTGTATATATGTATGTATATGTATATATATGTATATATATGTATGTGTATATATATGTGTGTGTATATACACACACATATATATGTGTATGTGTATGTATACATACACACACACACACACACACACATATATGCATTGTGTACCCTATTTTATCAACACAAGACCCAAGGAATCCAGTGCCTACTTAAAATCACAGGGCCTCCTCCAACTCTGCTGTTTCTCCAGACTTTTCTTTGAGGAGCTCCTGATTGCCCGAGAAGGGCAGTGTGGGAGCTGGAGG